GCAATCAGCCACTGTCTTAAACTCTCTTCAGACATTCCTTTTGAATGTGTGTGTGTTTCCTGCTGAGACCTCTACCTATATTATTACCATCAGTAGGGTAAATCAGCCATATTATGAATTACATGGATTTTTGTCATCTGGTCTGAGATCTTAATTAGCATAGCTGGTTTCTGTAGGAGGAAAAAAAATACTATCATAAAGATTTCTTTTTGATAGATAGCTTATTTTTAAGTTTTAGGTATCTTCTCTTCCACTCTTAAATCTACAAATTGTACAACAAACTTTCCACTAAATTAGTCTCTATTAATGCCATTCATCTCTTGCCACTTAAGCTAATCCTTGAACCTGTTAAGAGTTAGCAGATTTAAAACCAAAGCTCATTGTATTTTTACTCCAGTTTTAAACCTCTGTTGGTTTTCTGTTACCTGTAAGATGAAAGTAAAAATTCCTTGGTTTCGTGTACAGGGAAGCAGCCTGATACAGTGATAAAAATTTTTTGCTTTAAGTCAAACAGATCTGAATTCCTTATCTATTGTGTTAGCTCATTTGAAGTAAAAGGTCAGTGGTTTAAACATACCAACTGCTCCATGGGAGAAAGATGAAGCTGTCTGCTTCCATAAAGATTTACAGCCTTGAAAATCCTATGGGACAATTCTGCTCTGTCCTGTAGAGTCAGTCTGAGTCAGAATCAGCTCGGTGGCAGAGAAGGAAAAGACTTAATTTCCACCTGTGTAAACTAGAGTAATAATAGTGCCTATCCAGGGTTGTTATGAGAATTAATATATTATGCATGTAAAACACTTAGTACAGAACCTGGAACTAAGTAAATCCTCTTCGTTTGTTGCATGATATTTTAATTACTCTCTTAACTATTAGCAAATATGTCATATTAGGAAAATTATTTAACCTATGTTTAGGCCTCAGTTTGCTAATTTGTAGATGAATGTAATGCCATTTATCCCATAGGCATGTCATAAGGAATTGAGATAGTGTGTGTAAGGGATCTAGAACAGCGTGACCTACGATGGCCAGTAAAAGTTAATTGCTTTTATAAATGTTTACTCAGAATTCTGTTCTTGATACTCTGCTCATTCTGTACTCTCAAATTTAGTAAGTTTATTTCATGCCTTTTAGATACACTTGATCAGTGCTGTCTCTTGAATATTAGTGTTATATCTCCATTTTCTCTTGGATAACTTAACCTGGACTCTCTATATCCACAGCAACACTAATTTTTTCTCCTTCTAGTCACTCATTCAGCATTCCATAACTGGTTGAGTGCCACCCTAAACTATCCAGATGCCCAAGCCAGAAAAAGAGGAGTTATTGTAGACTACTTGTTTGCTCTACACCTTATATACAATAAGTTGGTTCTGCTGCACTATCTCCTAACTTTCCCATTTCAGTTCATCCTTCACCCTGATGCCTGAAGTGATTTTTTCCTCTCAATGGCAATTCTGAAAATCTAAATCTATCTAGGAAATTTTATCACAGAGAAATTTATAATCACTCCCTGCCCTCTGTTATACATAAACTATTTGTTGTTGAAACTATTGTTGTTGTTAGGTGCTGTTGAGTCAGCTCCAACTTACAGTTACCTTATGTATAAGAGAACTAAATATTGCCTAATTCTGTGCCATCCTCACAATCGTTGCTATGTTTGAGCCCATTGTTGCAGCCACTGAGTCCACCATCTCATTGAGGGTCTCCCTCTTGTCTGCTGACCCTGTACTTTAGCAAGCATGATGACCTTCTCTAGCAATAGATCTCTTTGATGATGCGTGTAAAGTGAGATGAAGTCTTGCCATCCTTGCTTTTGTGGAGCATTCTGGTTGTAGTTCCTACAGGACAGATTTGTGTTTGTTCTTTGGCAGTCCATGGTATATTCAATATTCTTTGCCAACACCACAGTTCAAATGTATTAATTCTTCTTCAGTCTTCCTTTTTTCATCATCTAGCTTTTGCATGCATCTGAGGTGATGGCAGTTGTTAATGAATCTTCCTCCAATCCTTATGCCTCATTCTTCTTCATATACCCCAGCTTCTCAGATTATTTGCTCAGCATATAGATTGAATAAGTAAGGTAAAATAATATAACCCTGCTGCACACATTATCTGATTTTAGGCCATGCAATGTCCTCTTATTCTGTTCAAATGACTGACTCTTGATCCATGTACAAATTCTGCATGTGCATGATTTAATGTTCTGCAATTCCCATTCTTTGCCTTGTTCTCCATAATTTACTATGATCCACACAAATGCCTTCACATTGTTGGTAAAAACACAAGTTAATATCCTGTAGTCTCTGCTTTTGGCTGAGATCTACACATGAGCAGTGTTGATGTATGGCTCCCAGCATTTTTAAATTATCTTCAAATTTTGCTAACGTGGTATTAATAATACTATTTGATAATTTCTGCATTATGTTTGATTGCCTTCTTTGGAATAGGCATGAGTATGGGTCTTTTCTAGTGGTTTGGGGAAGTAACTGTCTTCCAAATTCATGACATAGATAAGTAAGTACTTCCAGCATTGCAGCTGTTTGTTGAGGCATCTCAATTGGTATTTCATCAATTCCTGGATCCTTGGTTTTTATAACTATGTTCAGTTCAGCTTGTACTCTTTCTTTCAGTACCTCCAGTTCTTGATCATATGCTACTTCTTTAAATGGTTGAGTGTTAGCCAATTCTTTTTGGTACAGTGACTGTGTATTCCTTCCATATTCTTTTGATGCTTTCTGTGTCATTTAATTTTTTGTCCATAGACTCCTTCAATATTGCAATTCACAGCTTGAATTTTCTCTTTGGTTCTTTCAGCCTGAGAAAAACTGATTGTGTTCTTACTTTTAGATTTTTCTAACTCTAGGTCCTTGCACATTTCATTGTAATACTTTACTTTTTCTCAAGACATCCTTTGCAGTCTTCTGTTCAGCTCTTTTACTTTACCATTTCTTGTATTTGTGTTAGCTACAAATGTATTTGAGAGCAAGTTTTGGAGTCTCTTCTGATATCCATTTTGGTCTTTTAAAATTTTTTTTTCCTGTCTTGTCTTTTTAGTAATGACCTTTTACTTTTTTATGTACGATGTTAAAATCATTACCAAAAATCAAGCCCACTGCCATCGAGTTGGGAACTCTGGTAGCATAGTGCCTAAGGCACTTGACTGCTAACCAGAAGGCTGGCGGTTCAAACCCACCAGCCGCTCCTCGGAAGGAAGATAGGGTAATCTACTTCCATAGTGATACTGCCTCGGAAACCCAAGGAGGGGTCGCTATGAGTCGGGTCCGACTCGACAGCACATAACAGCAACAGCAACAGCCATCGAGTCAATTTGAACTTATAGAATCCCTATTGGATAGAGTAGGAGCTCTGATAGCACAGTGCATAAGGCATTTGACTGCTAACCAGAAAGTTGGTGGTCCAAACCCAACAGCTGCTCTGCAGGAGGAAAATAAGGCAATCTACTTTCATAAAGATTTACAGCTTTGAAAACCCGATGGGGGTTGCTACGAGTCAGGATCGACTGAACAGCAGTGGGTGTTTTAGTTTATAGATGGAGTAGAATTGACCCATAGGGTTTCCAAGGCTATAAATCTTTATGGAAGCAGACTGCTGCTGCTTTATCCTGTGGAGCTGCTGGTGGATTCAAACCATTGATTTTTTGGTTTGTAGCTGACTGCTTTATCCACTATACCACCAGAGCCCCTGTTGAAATTGTTACCAACTGTTAATTCTTCCTCTTGTTTTTAAAGACTCACAAATTATGTAAGTTATGAGTGACCTTTTTGTTTTCTTAAAAATGATTTGCAATTTAAGTATTAATGTTATAATAGAAGTGCTACTAAATGCTATTTTTGGACACTAAGATTTACTCTAGGAGCTCTGGTAGCATAGTGCCTAAGGCGCTTGACTGCTAACCAGAACGCTGGTGCTTCAAACCCACCAGCCACTCCTCGGAAGGAAGGTTGGGCGATCTACTTCTGTAGTGATACCTCCTCGGAAACCCAAGGAGGGGTCGCTATGAGTAGGGGCCAACTCAACAGCACACAACAACAACAACAAAGATTTACTCTAACTTTATCCAGGAAAAGGAGCTCTGGTGGCTTAGTGGATAAGGCATTTGACTGCTCACTATCAGGTCAGCAGTTCAAACCCACCAGCTGCTCTGTGGTGGGAGGAAGATGGGGTGATATACTTCTGTAAAGATTTATAGTCTCAGAAACCCAATGGGGGTCTCTATGAGTTGGAAAAGACTCGATGGCAGTGAGTTTGTTTTTTGTTTGTTTGTTTGTTTCTTTTGTTCAGAAAAAGGAAGAGTAAAATGGGAAAAAAGATTTAGAAACAAATGAATACAAATGAGAAAACATCATGTGGCAGAGTTGCTACCACATTGTTGCTGTGTTTCAGTCTATCTTTTGTCAGTGTTCTTTTCTTGAAAAGTTTACACACATTATATCATATGATTTATGAAGGATATAATTAATCTGTCCTTAACTGTTAGTCAGATATACTTAGAAGTAGTAACTTTTACATTGTTTTGTGCTGTCAAGTGGATTCCTACTCAAAGTGAGCCTATATGACAGAGTATTACTTCCCCATAAGCCTTCCTAGGCTCTAATCTTTATGGTAGCAGATCATGAGGTCTTTTCTCCGATGCAGTGACTGGTGTGTTCCAACAGCTGACCTATGGTTAGCAGCCAAGTGTTGAACCATTGTGGCATCAAGACTTCTTAGTTATTTTTACTATAAAAACAGAATGAAGCATACATAGCCCATTGTTGCACCATTTCCATGATCTTTGATATATTTGAGTCCATTGTTGAGACTATTTTGTATAAAAGTCAATTTAAGTTAAATCTAAATTATGTTAAATCCAAGTGGATGATAAATAAGGTCTCATTTTCACACTTGATTTGTATAAATGTTATCAAATACTGTAAAATCTCTGTAAGCAATTATTTTAAGCCTGATTGTTGTTTGCTTATTTATTTATTTTGCAGCCTTGCTTTGCATCCTGAACGAGTATTAGTAGCAACAGGACAAGTTGGGAAAGAACCTTATATCTGTGTTTGGGATTCATACACTGTGCAGACCATATCAGTGCTGAAGGATGTTCATACTCACGGTATAGCTTGTTTGGCATTCGACTTAGATGGGCAGGTATGTGATCATTTTTCTTCCTTTTCTAAACCATCTTTTAAAAATTGGTACTGTAGGAAGTGATTATAAATTATAAATACTAAATTGGAAAACAGTTGTTGAGAAGTACTTATTTGTCCAAGAATGGGGGCTCATTTGGTGAGGTGGATGGTTGATATATATTAAAAACTAAAAACAAAAAGGGATTTTAATTTTATTATGTTAAGAACCCTCTCAATTGAATTGCTACCATGGAAACCAAAAAGATTCAGATTAAGTGGAGTATTACTTGGTTGTTACAGAAGATTTTACATAACACTCTTCTCTAGAGTACATTGATGGGACAGAGGGAAGACATCTTAGGAAAATTAAGTTTCTCTATGTAGAGCTGTGTACACTTTAATTTTCAGTTATTTTAAAGTTATTTATCTAAAGTTACATTTTTATTTAAAAAATAAGTCAATTTCTATAATATGAGCTATTTTTACACAAAAATCAAAGTTCAAAATGAAGAATATAGTCACCTCACTGACTAATCAGTTCCTACATTTTTATCTACTTCTATTCAGTTGTTTAAAAAAAGTAGTAAACAAACCAAAAGCCATTTTGATTTGTCTTTATAAAAATTGTTATTTATAAAACATACATAAAAAGTCATAATAAAGTACATTTTTGCCTCTGTGGTTAGTTTATAGCCTTTAAAAATCTTATGTTAAAATTAGACATTAAAATCATTTTAACTCTTAGCAAATTTTTAGTTATCTTCTTTTTGATTCTTAAAATTGGTATATCAAGATTTTATAGAAGCAGATTATAGAGTTTAGTCTTAAAAATGATAGCCAGTAGATGTTTTATGAAACTCTGAGGAATAGCTTCTTGGAGTAGCACAGGTTACTATGACTTCCTCTGAAGAGTGTATCTAGTAAGGATTCTAGGAAGACAATTTGAACCTCCTATTTGGGGCAAATGTACTTCTAGGATCGATAGCACTGTATAGTATTGGTTGGCTATTACACTGTCTCAAGTCATGTTTCATTTTGCCATTGTCTTTCAAGGCCTTTAATTTCCTCATGTCAAAATTTCTTTCATTTTCCACTTTAAAGGAAAAAGAATAATAGTTGGAATTGACTTGATGGCAACTGGTTACTGGTTAACCTACATCACAGGAGCATAGAAACAAACTTAGAAGGTTTTTAAAAATCACTTATAAAAGGTGTGAAATCCAAGATGTTTTTAACTGTAAATGTCTGTCTACTTTAAATATAGATGTTTTCCTTTAACTTTAAAATTGCCCTTTCTTAATTAATGTATTGCATCGTTGAGGAATGCCTCATATATCCAAGGAAAAGTCATGCCTTTAGCTTTTACTAGTTGAAACCTTTAATTTAGTTTATTTTGAGCAACTTGTAAGAAAAGTCGTGGGTGCATGTATTTTACCATCAGAGAGCTTCATGAAAACGTGATACTTCAAAGTTTAAGCTTATAAAAAACCATAACAAAAGGTTATTTAGCACATATTAAGTGCCAGGCTTTGTGCTAAGCCTGCCTTATCTCATTTAATCCTCACAACAACATGATGCAATAGATACTGTTATTATCTCTATTTTACGGTTAAAGTAACTGAGACTTGTTGTTGTTGTTGTTGTTATGTGCCGTCGAGTCGGGCCCCGACTCATAGCGACCCCTCCTTGGGTTTTCGAGGCAGTATCACTACGGAAGTAGGATTGCCCAACCTTCCTTCCGAGACTTAGAGAGAGGTTAAATAACTTGCCCCAGGTTACACAGCTAGTAAATGGAGCCAGAACCCAACCCAGGTTAGGCACACTCTGGAAGCTTATGTTTTTGATTCAGTTCAGTACTGCCTCCCAGACTTGGAACTTAGGACGTAGTTATTTATATTTCTAAAGGAATTTGTCCATTTCAAGAGTAACAAAAACAAAACTCAGTGCCATCAGAGTGAATTTCGACTCATAGCAATCCCTGTTGGGTTTCTGAGGCATTAATCTTTATGGAAGTAAGTCTGTCCTCAGTGGAGCCGCTGGTGGGTTTGAATGGCCAGCCGTCTGGTTAGCAGTCAAATGCCTTAAGCACTTGCCCACTAGAGTTCCAGGAATAGTTAAAGCTAATATGTGAGGAACTGCTACCAATTGAAGATTAAGTTAAGAAAAATTTTTCTGAAATTATATTAGTTTAAAAATGCTTTAACTTATAAAATGCATTTGAGAGAACTTAACCTCTCAATATGCTTCTATGTATAGACTGTTTATGAGATGTCAAGTAAGAAATATGAAATTATAAGTAATCTTTTAAGACTCATGCAGTGAAGAGTTTCCTAGTAGCTGGTAATGCTGAATGTTCTTTTTTCCCAGAGGTTTTCTTCTATTTGGATTGAATATCCATGCTAATATAAGCAGTCTGCCTTATTGAGAATTATTAGTGCTAGAATGGCTATTTATATAAATCCACATAAAACAGGGATTAAAATTTCATAGTAAGTGGAAGACGGGGATGGGAGGAGGGAAAAATTGGTACTTTATCTTGAAAATGTACCTATAATTTATAAAAATATATTCCTCATATTTAACAAAATCTGAGTCGTAATTTTAACTGTATGCTAATTTATAGAATGAACTAAGAATAAACTTAAGTATTTTTTTCTTGCATGATTTTGTTGGTTATTTTCTGGTTTAAAATAAAATGCTTCAGCTTACCTTTAGCTTTTGCCACATGATTTTAAAGAGGGTAATTTTTGCAGAAATATTAAGAAAGCTTTACTGATTTTTTTTTTGTTATCTCTTCATATCTAGACACAGCTCAAGTGCTATTATTTTACAGTCCTTGAAGCTTTCTCCTCCTTCATTGCTCTGCCACATCCTAACTTCTATGCATGCCTTGACCAATATTTACTCTTTGAAAAATTTGTAATTTTCCTTTGCAACATTGTATGTGCATCATTCTTATATGATGAACACTGAGATCATAAGGACTCTCCTAGTAGAATTTTTTAAGTGTAATATTCCATTATTTGAATATATTTCACAGTTATTGGAAACTAGTGGGATGCTTGTAATTGTGTGTATATTAGGACATTTCTCTTACATGAGTACTTGAATTTTTAATAGATACTTCCAATTCAGTTAATGGACACAAAAATGATTCTGTGTGGGAATAGGATCAGAAAGAATAGGAGGAATTTGGGAAACTGAAGAGAGGTTTCTTCCTTCTAGTCCATTTGCAACTGTTACTTATTAGTTATCTTTAAGGAGCCTTGCCATCTGTCTACTTCTTTGATGTTAGCATTCTTCAGGAATCTGTAGCCTTCTTTTCTTTCTGGGTGATTATCTACATCCATGATTTAAACTCCTGTAAACTCCTGTATCAGTTAACAGTGGGAGCTCTGGTAGCATAGTGACTAAAGCACCTGACTGCTAACCAGAAGGCTGGCGGTTCAAACCCACCAGCCACTCCTCGGAAGGAAGGTTGGGTAATCCTACTTCCGTAGTGATACTGCCTCGGAAACCCAAGGAGGGGTCGCTATGAGTCGGGGCCGACTCGACGGCACATAACAACAACAACAACAACATCAGTTAACAGTGGCCCAGGCTTCTCTCTTCAACTCCAAATACTGTTTTGAATGTCCTATAGTTATACTATATTACACATTTAACACTGAATTCTCTCTTGATTCCAACCCTAAAAAAAATAAAATAAAATAACCAACCACTCAAATCTTACTCTGTTTCCTGCCTTCTGACCTACCTCTCCCAGCCTATGTATTCTTGGCACTTTGTTGAAAGCACCATGATCTCTCTAAGAAAATCCTGACATCCCTTGTTCTGAAATACACTTTCTCTTACATTTGTACTTGACATCTCTTACTCTGTTTTCCAAGATACTGTTCAAGTATTACTTTTGCTGGAGATTGGCGTTGATCATTGATATGTTTTCAAGACTACCAAAGAAGTACTCCCAGGTCTAATTTGTTCAAAAACATAAAAAATACCAGTATTAATGCAAATCCAAAAACCATGAGATACCATATCACCCCAGCACTAATAGCAAAGCTCAAAAAGACAGAAAATAGAGCTTTGAAGCTCTGTTGGGATATGTGGAGTTTCACAGCTTTTGGCCACATGTGGTTTGCACTGTGTACGTGATGAGCTGAGCCATCAAAGAGACTGATAGAAAGGCCAGCACCCCTCCTTCTATTCCTCATTTTATATGTGCCCTGTAAGATTTTAGCATCTATGCAATATGCTATAGGAAAAGGTAGATATCTTTGTTCTGGCTAGATAATTACTGATATCCTCTGGTTCTCAAATATTAAAAGACTCTTAGGAGGAGCAAATCATCTCTTTAAGAAGGGATCCGTTTTAGAGCTTTCTCTCTCTTCTTTTTGGAAAAATATCTACCCTTGGGCTAAAACTACATTGATTTAATTACTATTACTTTATAATACATCTTTACAATACATTCTTATTAAGGCAAGCCTTGCCCATCTGATTTTCCTTCTTCAAGTTTGTGCGTTTTGGCTCTTCTTTGACTTGGTCTGCCCTTTCCCCCACCTCCCAAACATTTGCTTAACTTCCATGAGAACCTGTGAAGTAGCATTGAGTTTAGAGATTAAGAGATAATTGACATCTTATTGAGTGGTTCTATCCAGGAACATGGTGTGTTTTTTTTTTTTTTCCATTTACTTAGTCATCATTTAATACCTAACAATAAAATTTTATGGCATTCTCTGAATGAAGTAAGTCAATCACAGAAGGACAAATATTATCTGAGGCTGCTATTATAGAAAGTCAAGGAAAAGTTAACACAGGGAAGGAAATTTTCTTTGTTCGTTACAAGGGATAGGAGGGGAAGGGAGGGAAATTTGCTGACTAGTTAAGAGACGTGTTGATTTGGGTGAAGGAAAAGGTGATATAACGAAAGCGAGTGAGCAACACAATATCACTAAGAAAAAGGAATACACAGAGAGGTGCACAAGAGGTACAGATAGTAAAGGTAAATACTATTAC